TCAGCAAAGTTTGAGCAACAATCGGAATTGCATATGCCACTGCAGAGCATCATTGTACTATCATGAGTACATGTAAAATCGCTGATTGGCTACAACTTCAACTGTTCCAGCCAATCAGCGACCGGCGTTCGACCGCACGATGAGGGTGCGCCGGTTGGAAATCGCGCGCGAATTTTATTCAACGGCCATCGTGCACGGCGTTATTCCTTGTGTATTCAAAATACGGCTTATGCAAATGAGACGAAGGACTGGAGAAGCGCAGTAACCGTATTTCGTAAGCATTCCATGTGGTTATGTTGCCGGCATGATGAAGGTACTAAAGTATGGTGCCTCAAGGTCGGAAACCAAGACGGCTCTGAGAGAGACAGCTTCGCATAACAGGGTTGAAGGAGGGTTCCAACTTCTGGGCTTCCTTATCGTCGATTTGCTGACCGGTTATTCTCTATTTTATCTTTTCCTCTTTGCTATACTAAATCGTGTACGTAAGGACGATTTTACCACCAAAATTGCATGAAGGTTAGGCAATACACACACTGCTTTGTTTTTGTTTTTCTTTTTCTTATTTTTGGCGTATTCTCTTTCTCTCGTTCGTTTCAAAGTCTCCAGAATACCCAAACGCCTTGGATACCAGATTCTGCGTTGAAGATCATGGAGTATCTGCACGACATATGAAAGGGTCTTGTCCGTAGCTTTTACATAGTAGTTGCACCATTACGCATTACGCATTGTTGACACGTACTCGGCGAGTCCACTGTAGAAATATGTGATGGGATATTTGTATAGAATATTTATGAACAAATGCGCTTTATCACATACACATGAATTCTCTCTCTCTCTCTCTCTATCTCTCTATCTATCTCTCTCTCTCTCTCTCTCTTTCTCTCTCTCTCTCTCTCTCTCTCTCCTCTCTCTCTCTCTCTCTCTCTCTCTTCTCTCTCTCTCTCTCTCTCTCTATCTCCTTCTCTCTTCTCTCCTCTCCTCTTCTCTTTCTCCTCCCTCTTTCTCTCTCTCCCTCCCTCCCTCTCTCTCTTCTCTCTCTCTCTCTCTCTCTCTCTCTCTCTCTCTCTCTCTCTTCTCTCTCTCTCTCTCTCTCTCTCCTCTCTCTCTTTTCTCTCTCTCTCTCTCTCTCTCTCTCTCTCTCTCTCTCTCTCTCTCTCTCTCTCTCTCTCTCTCTTCTCTTCTCTCTCTCTCTCTCTCTCTCTCCTCTCTCTCTCTCTCTCTCTCTTCTCTCTCTCTCTCTCTCTCTCTCTTCTCTCTCTCTCTCTCTCTCTCTCTCTCTCTCTCTCTCTCTCTCTCTCTCTCTCTCTCTCTCTCTCTCTCCCTCTCCTCGCTCCTCTCTCTCTCTTCTCTCTCTTCTCTCTCTCTCTCTCTATCTCCCTCTCCCTCTCTCTCTCTCTCTCTCTCTCTCCTTCCCTCTCTCTCCCTCTCCCTCTCCCTCTCCCTCCCTCTCCCTCTCCTCTCTCCCTCTCTCCTCTCTCCCTCTCCCTCTCCCCTCCTCCTCTCTCTCTTCTCTCTCTCTTTCTCTCCTCCTCCTCCCTTCCCTCCCCCCCTCTCTCTCTCTCGTCCTCTCCCTCCCCTCCTCCTCCCTCTCTCTCCTCTCCTCTCTCCACTTCCCTCTCCTTTCTCTTTCTCTCTCTCTCCTTCCCTCTCCCTCTCCCTCTCCCTCTCTCCCTCCCTCTCCCTCCTCTCTTCTCTCTCTCTCTCTCTCTCTCTCTCTCTCTCTCTCTCTCTCTTCTCCTCTCTCTCTCTCTCTCTTCCCTCTCTCCTCTCTCTCCCTCTCTCTTCTCCTCTCCCTCTCCTCTCCCTCTCCTCTGCCCTCTCCCTCTCCCTCTCCCTCTCCTCTCTCTCCTCTCTCTCTCTCTCTCTCTCTCTCTCTTCATTTCCGTCTTCGCTGCTCATCTTTTAAACAGTAAGGATTTCGTCCGACATTTTCTCCTTTCGAAAACACTCAGGTCATTCTAGCAGACGAACCCTATGAACCTCACCTAATCACCAAGACTGGGACATGAATATAAAATCCGACTCGATAAATCTTCAAACGGATTTATTTACAGGCTTTATTTACGACGGTTATGCTAATCAAATGACAATCAAATTTACTTTATGGATTGATTTGGCGTTTTAGAAAAGCGGACATACCCATTTTTTTATCATAACGAATTCCACAACCACGTGATGCACATTCAACCAGAACATGGCCCACGACACGTAATAAAGATTAGAATGAAGAAATAAAATAAATGAATAAAAAGATAAAAAAACAAGAAAATAAAGAAAAAATTAATAAAAATAAAAGAAAATTAATAAAAACAAGAAAATAAAAGAAAATTAATAAAACAAGAAAATAAAAGAAAAATTAATAAAAACAAGAAAATAAAGAACATGAGTAAAACAAGAAAAAAAAAACAAAAAAGAAAGCAAAAAAAAAAAAACAAGAAAACAAAAGAGAAATCTAATAAAAAGCAAGAAAATAAATATGAAAATAGATAAAACAAGGACGCATACTAACCACTAATTGGCAACCCGCACTGGCGTCCCTATACAGTAGACCCGGATACTTGGACCGCTACCAATTGGACCAATATTTCAGATTGTTTTGATTCACTTGATTTAAATTCCTGTGATGGATCTCTGGACCTGCGCTCACATCACGGCACATTACGTGTATTTTACTCTGTTGTATGCGTTATGGGTCTCTATGCATGTGGTAGAGAGAGAGAGGGGAGGGGGGAGAAGAGGGAGAGGAGGAGAGAGAAAGAGAGAGGGAGGGAGAAAGGAGAGAAGAAGAGGAGAGGGAGGAGAGGGAGAGAAAGAGAAGAGAGGGAGGAGAGGAGGAGGAGAGAAAGAGAGAGAGAGAGAGGGAGGGAGGGAGAGGGGAGGGGAGAGAGTAGAGGAGGAGGGGAGAACGAGAGAGAGAGAGAGAGAAGAGACGAGGGAAGGAGATGGATAGACAGGAAGAGGAGGAAGGAAAAGGAGAGGATGGAGATATGACAGAGAAAGAAAAAAGAGGAAGTTAGGAAGGAAGAGAGAAGGAGAGGAGAAGGAATGGGAAAGAGAGAAGGGGAAAGGAGGAAGCGAGGGAAAGTGATTGGGAAGAGAGGAGGGAGGGGGAGAGAGACAGAAAAAAAGAAGAGAGAGAGTGAAAACAGTAAATAAAGACAACACAGACAAGAACAATCAGAAAGACAGTGAGACGGAGAAGCATACAAATCGGTAACCCTTCTTTCTTCTCCTTCTTCTTCTCTCTTCTTCTTCTTCTTCTTCTTCTTCTTCTCTCTCTCCTCCTCCTCCTCCTCCTCCTCCTCCTCCTCCTCCTTCTTCTTCCTCTCCTCCTCCTCCTCCTCCTCCTCCTCCCTCCTCCTCCTCCTCTCCCCTCCCTCCCCTCCCCTCGCCCCTCCTCCCTCCCCCTCCTCTCCCCCTCCTCCTCCTCCTCCTCCTCCTTCCTCCCCCTCCCCTCCCCCTTCCCCACCTCCTCTTTTCAATGATTTTTTTTTTTTCTCTCCTTCTTTTAACGATGCAACGATCAGCTAATGTCCGCTTACATAGCCAAAGGCCCAACGGCAAATGAAAGGAAGTTAGGTTAAATACCCCAACACATAGCCACTAACAAGCTAAAAGAACAAGTGAACGGTAGTTTAGCCACTGAATAACAACGTACTTTAATAGACCTAACAATTTTCCGAGGTTAGATAGTTCGGGTTTGTCTACGGGAGGACAGTACTTCTCGTGTTCTCTGCGGAATCTCGTCCTTATGTCCAAGCATGCACAGACTGATAGATAAATAGATAGATAACAAGGATTTTCGTGTTCTCTGCGGAATCCCGTCCTTATGTCCAAGCATGCACAGACTGATAGATAAATAGATGATTGCATACAGACTGATAGATAAATAGATAACAAGGATTTTCGTGTTCTCTGCGGAATCCCGTCCTTATGTCAAGCATGCACAGACTGATAGATAAATAGAGAACAAAGATGAAATGTTACTATTGTTGAAAAAAAAAATTGGCGAAGAAGTACCCGGCGCCAGACTATGACAGATAACCAAGGCGACGCTGTCTGTCATGGCTCCGCTTGTGTCACTGTAACGAGGTGACACAAAATCTTGTTTCACGCAAAAGACGATTCTTCGGGTAAAAAGGAAGAGAAATGGAAATAACGATTATTGGGTCAATGAGACTTAGATATTATTTCAGGTGTATGATATATATATATATATTATATATATATATATATATATTATATATATATATATATATGTGTGTATTATGTGTGTGTGTGTATGTGTGTGCGCGCATATATATGATACACACACACACACGCACACACACACACACCACACACACACACACACACACACACACACACACACACACACACACACACACACACACACACACACACACACACACACACACGCACACACACATATGTATACATACATATACATGCAGAACAAAATATGTGTGTGTGTACGCGCGTTCTCTTCGCTGTCATTGTTATTACATAAACAATAATTTACATAAACAATAATTTGAACATTTTACGAATGGCTCACTGAGGGATTTTGAGCAATTCCTTTAGCCATTGGACCATTTTGTATCGTTGCTTATTTTACTTAATTTCACTGGAGATTCGCTTTTTTCAAATTGATTCGGATGTTTTGTTAACTTGTGCTTATACACTGTTGTTGATTTTGTGTCTATCTACTGTCTTTTCTTTCATTTTTCCTTATTTATTTTCTCGCCTTTCTCTTCTTTCTTCTCTCCTTCCTCCTCTCCTCTCTCTTTCTCTTTCTCCTCATTCTTCTTTACTTTCTTTCTCTCCCTCTCCCCCATCTCCCTCTCTCCTCCCCTCTCCATCCTCCCCCATCCCCCCTCTCTCTCTCCCTCTCTCCTCCTCCCTTGCTCTCTCTCACACCCACTCCCTCTCCTTCCTTCTTGTCCCTCTCTCCATTATCCCTCTTTCGCCATTATTAATTGCAATTTCCTCTTCCACAGATACCACCCAGATGCCGACGCTCGCCAGAATCCTCTCACCAACGGAACGAAATTGGAGATTAGCCTGTCCAAGTAAGAGAGAGAGAGAGAGAGAGAGAGAGAGAGAGAGAGAGAGAGAGAGAGAGAGAGAGAGAGAGAGAGAGAGAGAGAGAGGAGAGAGAAGAGAGAGAGAGAGAGAGAGAGAGAGAGAGAGAGAGAGAGGAGAGAGAGAGGAGAGAGAGAGAGAGAGGAAGAGAGAGTAGAGAGAGAGATGAGAGAAGGGGAGAGACAGAGATATATAGAGAGAGACAGAAAGAAAGGGAGAGAGAGAGAGAGAAGGGGGGAGACAGAGAGAGAAAGAGAGAAAGAAAGAGAGAGGGGAGAGAGAGAGTGAGAGATTAAGAGAGAGAAGAGAGCGAGAGAGACAGAGAAAAATCTATTCAAAAAGCGCAGAGAGAGAGCGAAATAGAAAGAAGAAAAAAAGGAAGGAGAGCCATCAGAAACGCGACCACCCGAAGGACACCAGACGGCGAAACATCAACAAAACCCTTTTCCTTTATACGCAGCCGCGAGCAACGATCACTTAATGTCCGCTTGGGAACCCAAAGACTCTGCCCTGTGCGGCAAATTAAAAAGAGGAAGGTGATCTTGTTGCCGTTAATAGCGTATCAGGTCGGCGCGGTTTCGACACAAAGACTGCCTTTTCATTGCATCTCTCTGTTGATAAGTTATTCGGGAAAGAACGTAGTAATTATCCTATTATCCTCCAAGCCGCCATTTTCAAGGGTGAATTTTCTTACACAAACTTGAGAGATAGCGGAAGGAGCGAGTTTTAAGAGTGTTGAGGGAATTCTCTCATGCGAAATAAATATACCTTGTGAGTGCATTTTTTTCATCCGTGTGTTAATCATCTTCGAGTAAAAAGAAGAAAAAAACAAAGATTGTGATTGTTTTCAAGAAGACGAGAAGGCACAGGCTCAGTTATATGTAGAAAATATAGAAAAAAGTACGAATATTAATTTTCCATCCAGATTATAACAAAAGTCCCCTGTAAACAAAAAATGTGGCAACACTGCTCATCAAAGGATCCCAAGCATCCACGGTAATTACGAAAGGAGGATGGCGCCCTGTGAGAAGGTACTATATTCTGGGCGCAAGGGAAGACGAGGCCGCGGTTTCAAGGAATGAACTGGCTGTTGTTCGGATAAACTCTTTTTTTTTTCTTCGCTCTTACACAGCTGTTCGTTAAGCATAGCACAATGGACCGTTATTGTCGCGATATCCTACCTTGGTTTGAATTATGCGTTTTATTTTGTATTCCGTTTTCGTTTGTCTTTTGTTTGTTTGTTTTTGTTTTTTGTTTTTTTCGTAAAGTCGCTTCATATTTAGTTCCAATCTCTATATCAATGTTTTTTTCAACCTTCCTTCAGTACGTTCTCGAACCCTACACAAATACCGCCAAAACAGTATCCCATCCTCTCACTTATAGCTTACCGGTCGGAATCGAATCCCATTTCGTTCCATAACCAAGTTTTGGATCCCACTATTTGTCTCCGGCATCCGACCGATTCGAGGTTGAGTCACAGATAACACCCGTCTCATATCTGGGGCCTCTTCCGTCCGGTTTAACCTTTATTGTACGAAGAAAGGTGGAGAAGTCTTATTCGAGCGCCGAGGAATCTGTGATGGAATGCACTTAAAAGATTTATTAAGCCGTAGGACCGATGTTTAGGATCATATAATACCCTCCCTCCCCTCCTTCCCCTCCCTCTCTCTCCTCCTCCTTCCCTCCCTCCCTCCTCCTCCTCCCTCCTCTCCCTCCTTCCCTCCCTCCTTCTCTCCTTCCCCCTTCCCTCCCTCTCTCCTCCCTCCCTCCTCCTTCCCTCCCTCCCTCTCCCCTCCCTCCCTCCTCCCTCCTCCTCCCTCCTCCCTCCTTCCCTCCTCCCTCCCCTCCTTCCTCCTTCCCTCCCTCCCCCCTCCCTCCTCTCCTTTTGGGGTATCGGCTCCTAATTTGTGGTCTGTATATTGGCTTATTTTTCTTGTGTTCTTTCTTCTTTTTAGAATTTTATTTGGACTAATTCATATATCATTCATATATATAAATGCAGTGATAATAAAGAAATAATAAAATGTATATAGAAAGGAAAAGAGGATGTTGACATTATTTCATTACTGTCTGACTGTGTGTCATTGTTTACATGTCTAGATCACGTGATAGAAGAGTCTGTAGGTGACATACTCAAGGTCAGTCTTTCCTTTTATGGGAACCCGTGATACATTAGATTAACCTTGTATTTTTGTTCTATTTTGATCTATGAAACATTCCGTACATACTCCCAGCAAGATATTTGATCTTTGGCTATTTAATTTACTTCTTGCTTTGAGACTAAAGAGATGAGGGAGTAACTGATATCAAAGACTTATCCACTTTAAACACTTCAAGTCGTGTGACCTGTTAAATGCAACGTGAGGTGGAATTGCAAAACTCGCAGCGAACTAATGAGATTCGAAACCTTTTTTTTTCGAGCGGGAAAACAAACGAAACCAAAATGGCGGCGCGGTGAGGTTAGGCTCGAGTACCATAATACCCCCATAGTTGTATAGGACACCCGCATGCTATACATTAGGATCTACTAAAGGATTTTTTAAACATTTTCACGTCAGTCATGATATTAAAGCGCACTTCATTTTCATTTCGTGTCCTGTCTTTTAGTGGAATTTCGTGTCTTATTGGCGTCCCGGATGCAAGTCTAGCCACTCATGATGATTTTAAGATAGGAAAAAACAAGAAATAAAGCTTTCAGATAAGCAAATATCACAGAATACATTATAGTCTTGATGTGATTTTGATAATTATTAACCGTTCTTTCTTGTAAAACTGATATATTCACGTCGGAGTAAACAAAAAAACAAAAAACAAAAAAAAAACAAGAGCAACGCCATGCGCACCCCATGACCCGCCAAAAGTACAAAATCTCACAATGGAATCCGATCCCATAAAAGCGATTCATATAGGAATGTTATTACACGCAACCCTCATGTGTCACTTACATATGGCAGTGTATCACAAGTGTCGATTCTGATGATGACAGATGACAGTCATTCTATTTGATTTTTGAGTTTTATGGCCACCCGCGGAGTCCTTGTCCGGGTACTGTATTCTGGTAACAGTAATATGCTTTTTTTTCTTTCTTTTTCTTTTCTTTTTTCTTATCTTCTTTTCCTTTTTTCTTTTCTTTTTTTCTTTTCTTCTTTTCTTTTCTTTTTTTCTTTTCTTTTTTCTATCCTTTTCTTTTCTTTCTTTTCTTTTCTTTTCTTCTCTGACAACGATGAAATAATAGTATTGTCAATATATATATATATATATATATATATTATATATATTATATATATTTATTATATATATATATACATATACATATATATATATATATATATATATATATATATATATATATATATATATATATATATATACATAATATACATATACATATACATATATATATATATATATATATATATATATATATATATATATATATATATATATATATATATATATAAGGGGAGTACTCCCCTGCGCCAGACTCAACAAGATAACCTAAGGCGCCTCTGTCTGCTTGGATCCGTTTGTGTCAATTTTACGAAATAACGAAATGTTGCTTAATCCGAAAAACGCTTCGCTCTGGCAGAAGGAATGAGAAATGGAGAATATTACGCTGATCGGATCAGTGAGACAGAGAGAGAGAGAGAGAGAGTGTGTGTGTGTGTGTGTGTGTGTGTGTGTGTGTGTGTGTGTGTGTGTGTGTGTGTTGTGTGTGTGTGTGTGTGTTAATGCATATATAAACATATACGTATATATATATGTATATATATATATATATATATATATATATATATATATTATATATATATATATATAATGTATGTATGTGTATATATATATACATACATATACATAACCACACATACATATACATATATAGATATGTGTGTTTTCACTATTTTTTTCCTCATTGTTGTTTTCCCTTCCTGACTTCCTGACTTGGAATATCAAAATCAGCGAATTCTCTCCCGCAAACGACGTGAACTAACTGCCCATTGTCTCTCCTTGTTCAGGTACCACTCCAATGTCAACGCTTCACACGAGACAAATTGGTCTCATAGCAAGCTTTATCCGAGTAAGTGATTTTGTTTTTGTTTTTTTGTTTGTTTGTTTTTCGTTGATTAAGTCGTTACTTTTTCTTTTTCTTTCGTTTTCTTTTTCTTTTCTTTCTTTCGTTGTCTTTCTATCTTGTTCTCTTCGTTCTCTTTCTCTCTCGTTCTCTCTCTCTCTCTCTCTCTCTCTCTCTCTCTCTCTCTCTCTCTCTCTCTCTCTCTCTCTCTCTCTCTCTCTCTCTCATTCATGTTTTCTCTCTTATTCTCTTCTCTTTTGTTTTTTGTTTTTTTTTCGTAAATATTTTCATTGTAAGTCTTTTCTTGTTGTTATTTCTTCACTTTTGTTTGTATTTTCTACTATGTTGATTTTCTTTATAGAGATAGGAGGGAGAGGAGAGAGAGAGGGGAGGAAAGAAGGAGGGAGAGGGGGGGAGGAGGGGCGAAAGAGGGAGAAAGGGGGAGGAAAGAGAGAGAGAGAGAGTAAGACAGACAGAGAAAGAGAGAGGAAAAGAGAAAGAGAGATAGCGCATAAGACAGAGAGAGAGAGAGAGAGGGAGAGAGGATAAAAAGGGAGAAAGGAAGATATTAAAAATGAGAGAATTCACTTTCCACAATGTCGAAAAAAATATATATTATTCAAGTATAAAGGAGATTAGGAGAAATAAGATAATGTCTGCGTTTTATAAAAGAAATATATGTCAGAACGGCGAAAAAGTGAGACATACATCTTACTGACGCTGACCTTGGCTTCCTAAAATAGAAACTGAAAAATGTGTTCGTTTTATCAATACCGAATTCTCACGTATCCTATTTTTAAACATGCTATTTTTATATGTGTAACTAGCTTTTGATTTTCTTTGGTCTATTACGTTATGAAAGACCTGAAAAAGATACACGTTAACCTCAAAAAAATGTTAACAATAATAACTGCAACGAACCATCGACTTGGGTTATCTACGTCCCGGATGTATATAGAGCAATGTAACGTATTCTTGCAAAGTATCAAATATGATTTTAACTTCTTTTCCCTTAAAACATTGATTTATAGAATATAAAAATAGCGTCCCTCTTAGTTACGCAATGGTTTTCGTAAATTCGTATAGCGTTCCTTACACAAGTTTTGAGATTTTGTTTAAATGTTTTTTGTTTGCTTATAACCGGATCAAACTGAAGGGACCGTTAGGCTAAACTCCTGTTGTATTTCATAATGATAACAGGTATGATAATGCTGATAGTAATGATAGCGGTAACAATGATAATAGTGATGATGATATAATGATAATGATAATTGGTTCCTTAACGTTCGTTAGAAATGTTTTGAGTTTTTTTTAACGTGTTCTTTGTTTGATTATAACCGGATCAAACAGAAGGGATCGTTAGGTTAAACTCCTGTTGTATCTCATGATGATAACAGGTATGATAATGCTGATAGTAATAAAAACGGTGACAATGATAATGATAATGGATAATGATAAATTATGATAATAATAATTAACTTACGCGTACATACATACGGTAGAGTCCATTGTCAAGTTAAAAAATAAAAACAATTATCATTATCATTATCAATATCATCATCCCTCTTTTTCCTTCTTGCATGCTTCGTTTTGTGCAACAGAAGCAGATGTTCATCAAAACCGTTGATATAATATATATATTATATATATATATATATATATATATTGTATATATTATTATGTGTGGTGTGTGTGTGTGTGTGGTGTGGTGTGTGTATATATAATATATATATATATATATATATATATATATATGTGGTGTGAGATAGAGAGAGAGAGAGAGAGAGAGAGAGAGAGAGAGAGAAAATGCACGTTTATACATTTGTTTCTTTTTTTCTTCTCGTCCTTCGCTTTTGCATTTCCTCCGTATTCCCCATTCATTCTTTATCTTCTTTCTGTCCTTCTTCTCTTCCTTCTCGTTTCTTCATTATCTCCTTATTCTTCATCTTGTTTTCTTTCTTTCGTCTTCATTATTCCCCTTCTTTATTTCTCTTTCTTTCGCTTTTTGTCCTTCCGTTTCTTCTTTCTCTTTATTTTTATCTTTCTCCTTTTTTTCGTATCATTCTTCTTCTTCTCTATCCGGTTTCTCTTATTTTCAGTGTTTACGGTGAAAAGTGACAAATATTTATCTCGTGTTTACCTTCGTTTTGTGTGTGAAAGGGAATCGAAAATGTTTTTTTTTTTTTTTTTTTTATCTTTGTCTTTCTGTTTTTTGTTTTTTTTTGTGTTTATATACTTCTTAGTTACGTTGTTTTTTGTGATTCTTTTAGAACTATTTACCAGTTAATTATAAAAGTATTTAGTTCTTAATTCAAAATATCATAATTGATGGTTATTCATAATGTACAGGTATATACATATATATATATATATGTGTGTGTGTGTGTGTGTGTGTGTGTGTGTGTGTGTGTGTGTGTGTGTGTGTGTGTGTGTTGTGTGTATCTTATATATATATTTAGATGTATATTTTTTTTCTCCAGGAAAAAGTTTTATGGTTCAGAATTTTGTTGGTTATAATTGTCGATTATAAAATAATTATAAAATACAGCAGCTGAACATTTCCGCCTGGGATCGAACCGGGGACCTTGTTCATGGAATTGGCATCATAAATTGTCGGTTATTCATATAAAATATAATATGATGTATAACCGCCCGGGATCGAACCGGGGACCTCGCGCGTGAGAAGCGAACGTGATAACCACTACACTACGGAAATGCTTGTTAACATAATGATACAATTTGTTCATTTTCTTGTAATTAGACTAGTTATTTGAGTCTATGATTTTAAGGGTATATATTTTTTTTCTTTCTTTATCTTCCTCTTTCATCATCCTATTTATCCTTTTAAATATTAATTTTGTCGCTATCATTAATATCATACCTGATATCATTAGTATCATTATCATTATCAATATCATTGTCCCTATCATAGCAGTATCATTATCACTCTCTGATCAGGTCTCGTGTGTGGGAATGTGGCTTAGCATCTTTTTCCTTCTTGCGGAACCAGACAGATTGCATGCTTCGTTTTGTGCAACAGAAGCAGATGTTTATCAAAATCAGCTGATACTGTTTTCGTGAATATGTACACATGCGTACGTACATACATGCATAGATACATTCATGTGATAAGATGTGTGTGTTGTGGAGGGGTTGAGAGAGGAGAGAGAGGAGAGAGGAGAGAGAGGGAGGGAGGAAGGAAGGAAGGAAGGAAGGATTCTTTATCTTTCTTCTCTTCTCTTCCTTCTGCTATGAGTTCTCCTCGTTCTCGTCTCTGTCTTTATCTCATTCTTCATCTCCTTTTCTCTTTTTCTTTTGTCTCTTCCTTTTGTTTTTCATTTTCTTCTCTTTTTCCCGTTCATGCTTCATCTCCGTCTTGTTAATATTCAATTTTTACCTTTTTTATCTCTCGTTTTTATCCTTCCGTTTTCTTATTTCTCCTTTTCTTTTTTTGCTTATTCTTTCGCTTTTATCTTTCCGTTTCCTTCTCTCTGTTTTCCATTCCGTTTTTCCTATTCTTTCGCTTTTTATCCTTCCGTTTCCTTCTTTCTCTCCTCTTTCTCATCTTTCTCCTCTATTCTCTCTCTCACTTCTCTTATTTAGGTTTAGTTTATTATTTGATTTATCTAATTTATTTAATTCATTCAGTGTATAGGCTGAAAAACATATTTTCTCGTGTTTCGGTTTCTGCGTGGAAGGAACTCGAGTATATATTTACATATATCTTTTTGTCCACGTTTTTGTTATTTCATGTTTTATGTTTTTTTTCTTTTTTTTTCTTTTTTTTTTCAACCACGTGTTTTTGAGATTAGTTTAGAACTGTTTGTCTCCTAATCAAAATGTTTACATAGCCTCTCAAGTCAGACCTGCACTCCCTTCCATAAATACAAATGTTTTATATATATATATATATATATATATATATATATATATATATATATATGTGTGTGTGTGTGTGTATATGTGTGTATATATATATATATGTGTGTGTGTGTGTGTGTGTGTGTGTGTGTGGTGTGTGGTGTGTGTGTTGTGTGTGTGTATTTTTCTTTAGAAAAAATGTATGTTTCAGAATTGTGTTGGTTATAATTGCCGATTATTCATAACACCGAAGAGCTGTGTTTGCGCCCGGGATCGAACCGGGGACCTTGCGCGTGTGAAGCGAACGTGATAACCACTACACCACGGAAACGATTATTAATTGATTATATATATTGTTGCTAAAAGAAAAAAAAACAAACACGAGAAGTAAATATCCCATGATTCCTTTTATTAACGAAATCTTGATAACCAAAAAAAATTATTTAATTCATTTAGGGTTTAGGCTGAAAAATATGTTTTCTAGTGTTTCGGTTTCTGCGTGGAAGGAACTCGAAGAAGTATTTACAAACATCTTTTTCGTCCATGTTTTTGTTATTTAATGTTTTATGCTTTTGTTGTTGTTTTCAACCACTTGTGTTTTTTATATTAGTTTAGAACTATTTGTCTCCTAATCATAATGTTTACATGGCCTCTCAAGTCAGACCTATGTATGTATGTGTGTATGTAAGTATATGTATATACATTTTTCTCTAGAAAAAGCATGTTTCAGAATTTTGTTGGTTATTCATAGAAACTAGAATCATAATTGTCGGTTATTCATAAAAAAAAAAGCAGACCTGTATTGTTAAGATAAAGATATAATTTATTCTTATTGTTGTAATTAGACTAGTTATTTGTCATTTTTATTATTTTATGGGTATTTTTTTTTTTCCTTTTCTTCTTCTTTCCCTTTTTCTTTATCGTTCTTTTTTATCTTTCTCGTTTTCTTTTTCATATGATTTCCGAAATATATATAACTACATAAAATAACATATAATTCCGAAATAAATATTATACACAAAAACATACAATTCCGAAATACATATAATCATTCATAAGACCATATAACGAATTACATATAATTACATATGATAACATATAATTTCCAAATATCATTATACACAAAAAACATATAACTCTAAAATACATATACTCACCTATAAGACCATACAACTCCGATATAAAAAACCTTACATACAAAAACACACAACGAAAGACATACAAACACCCACAAGCCCATACAACTCTATCTAACCATCTACAAGACCATACAACTCCGAAATAAACAACACTACACGCAAAAAACACACAACGAATTACATACAATCACCCACAATCCCATACAACCCTATCTAACCATCTACAAGACCATACAACTCCGAAATAAACAACACTTTACAACAAGTCTACAAGACCATACAAAATACAAACACCCACAATCCCATACAACTCTATCTAACCATCTACAAGCCCATACAACTCTGAAATAAGCAACACACGCAAAAAACACACAACGAAATACATACAAACACCTACAACCCCATACAACTCTATCTAACCATCTACAAGACCATACAACTCCGAAATAAACATTACACGCAAAAAAAAAAAAACACACACAACGAAAGACATACACACGCCCTATATCTAAATCTACACATCTAACCCCCCTAAAGTGTTCCACCACTACATGATCTCATCATGACAAAAACACACAACGAACAACATGACAAGCCCATACAACCCTATCTAACCATCTACAAGCCCATACAACTCTATCTAACCATCTACAACCATCAACGACCAGACCAGAACGGGAAACATTACACGCAAAAAAACACACAACGAAATACATACAAACACCCACAATCCCATACAACTCTATCTAATCTACACATCTAACCCCAATATCCCTTCTTCTTCCAAGTGTTCCAGGATGTCCACGTCATGATCTTCATCGGTTTCGGCTTCCTCATGACCTTCCTGAAGAAGTACGGCTTCTCCTCCGTCGGTATCAACTTCCTGGTGGCGGCGACGTGCCTCCAGTGGGCGCTCCTCGTCAATGGCTTCTTCCATCTCCACTACAATACGATTATTATCGATCTTAATGCGTGAGTAGGGGTTGGTTGGGGGTTATGTTGACGTCGGGTGAGTTGGGAGATGTGAGAGAGGGAGAGAGAGAAAAAGGGAGAAAGAGAGAGAGAGAAAAAAAGGAGAAAGAGAGAAGAGAGAAAAAAAAAAGGAGAAAAGAAAGAGGAGAGGGGGAAGGAGGGAGGCACAGAGAGAGAGGGAGAGGGAAGGAGGGAGGGAGTGTGTGTGTGAGAGAGAGAGAGAGAAGAGAGAGAGACAGAGAGAGAGAGAGAGAGAGAGAGGGGGAGGACAAGAGAGAGAGAGAGAGGAAGGAGGGAGGGTGTGTGTGAGAGAGAGAGGGATAGAGAGAGAGTGTGTGAGAGAGAGAGAGGAGAGAGTGAGAGAGAGGAGAGAGAGAGAGAGGGAGGGAGAAAGAGAGAGAGAGACAGAGAGAGAGAGAGGGAGAGGAGGGAGGGGAGGAGAGGAGAGAGAGAGAGAGAGAGAGAGGAGGGAGAGAGAGAGAGAAGAGAGAGAGAGGAGGGAGAGGGAGGGAGAGAGAGAGGAAGAGAGAGAGAGAGAGAGAGAGAGGGAGAAAGAGAGAGAGAGAGAGAGAGAGAGAAAAGAGAGAGGAGGAAGTGAAGAACTTATGGAGAGTGCGAAGATAGAGAAGAGAGAAAGAGTGAAGATGAGAAGGACAAGGGAGAGAGAAGAGAGAGGAGAGAGAGAGAGAGAGAGAAGAAGACAGACAGACAGACAGACAGACAGACAGACAGACAGAGAGACAGACAGACAGAGAGAGAGAGAGAGAGAGAGCCTTTTATATTTTTTTTTTTCCTTTGCCGCAATTCCTATCATCATCATCACACTCCTCTCTCCCCCATTCGCACAGCCTCCTAGCAGCTGACTTCACGGCGGCTGCGGTGCTGATCAGCTTCGGCGCCGTGCTGGGGAAGACCACGCCCACACAGCTGATCATCATGACCATGATCGAGATCCCTATTTTCGTCATCAATGAGGTCATAGGCAGACAGTACCTAGGGGTGGGTGAGCGAGGTTGTGAAGTTTTTTGCTTTGTTTTATGTTTTTTTTTTCTTTCTTTTTTCTTTCTCTTTAGCTTTTCTTTTTTTTTTTCTTCTTCTTCTTTTTTTTCTTCTTCTTTTTCTTTTCTTTTCTCTTTATTTTTTTTTCTTATTCTTCTTATTCTTATTCTTTTTTTTTTCTTTTTTAGTTTTTCTTTCTTATTCTTCTTATATAAGATGACATATAACCTCTTTTCCTTTTTCTCCATCCTATCACTTAATCATAACCTGAAAAGTGATGAAAAATGACATATAACCGCTTTTTCTTTTTCCATTCACGCTATCACATAATTATTACCTCATATGGCGATGTAAAATAGCCTATATAACCTCTTTTCCTTTTTCTCCATCCTATCACTTAATCATAACCTTAAAAGCGATAAAAAATGACTTATAGGCTATCAAATAATTATTACCTCATAGGGCGATGAACCTGAAAATCGATAAAAAATGACTTACAAAACCTCCTTTTTTCCTTTTTCTCCATCCTATCCCTTAATTATAACCTGAAAACCGGTCAAAAATGACTTATAAAACCTCCTTTTTCTTTCTCCCTCTTCTCCATCCTATCCCTTAATCATAACCTGAAAATCGATCAAAAATGACTTATAAAACCTCCTTTTTCTTTCTCCCTCTTCTCTCCATCCTATCCTTTAATTATAACCTGAAAATCGATTTTAAAAAATGACATAAAACCTCCTTTTTTTCCTTTTTTTCTCCATCCTATCCCTTAATTATAAGCGATAGAAAAATGACTTTTAAAACCTCCTTTTTCTTCTCCCTCTTCTCCATCCTCTCCCTTAATTATAACCTGAAAATCGATCAAAAATGACTAATATAAACCTCCTTTTTCTTCTCCCTGTTCTCTCCAGGCTATCACTTAATTATAACCTGAAAAGCGATAAAAAATGACATAAAACCTCCTTTTTTTCCTTTTTCTCTATCCTATCACTTAATTATAACCTGAAAAGCGATAAAAAAAATGACAAAACCTCCTTTTTTCCTTTTTCTCCATCCTATCCCTTAATCATAACCTGAAAAGCGATAAAAAAAAATGACATAAAACCTCCTTTTTTCCTTTTTCTCTATCCTATCCCTTAATTATAACCTGAAAAGCGATAAAAAAATGACATAAAACCTCCTTTTTTCCTTTTTCTCCATCCTATCCCTTAATTATAACCTGAAAAGCGATCAAAAAATGACTTATAAAACCTCCTTTTTTCTTCTTTTCTCTAGGCTATCACATAATTATTACCTCATAGGACGATGAACCTGAAAATCGATAAAAAATGACTTACAAAACCTCCTTTTCTCCTTTTTCTCCATCCTATCACACTTAATTATAACCTGAAAAGCGATAAAAAAAATGACCTTCACCTATATAAAATTACCTAACTTTTTTTTTTCCTTTTTTTCATCATATCCCTTAATTATAACTCTGAAAACCGGTCCAAAATGACTTATAAAACCTCCTTTTTCTTTCTCCCTCTTCTCTCCAGGCTATCGACATGGGTGACTCTATGTTCGTCCACGCCTTCGGTGCCTACTTCGGTCTGGCGGTGAGCTTCGTCCTCTACAGGGAAGACCACAGCACGGAAAAGGAAGGGTCATCTTATAGGTCGGATCTGTTCGCCATGATCGGTGAGGGGTTATTGGGTCTCTGGTTTTCTGTGGGGGTGTTTGGTTGGTTGGGTGGTTGGGTGGTTGGGTGTTGTGTGTGCGGTTTTTGGGTGGTTGGGTGTGTGTATGGTTGGGTCTCTGGTTTTCTGTGGGGGTGTGTGGGTGGTTGGTGGTTGTGTGGTGCGGGTTTTTGGGGGTTGGGTGTGTGTATGGTTGGGTCTCTGGTTTTCTGTGTGGGTGGTTTGGGGTGTTGGGTGGTTGGGTGGTGTGTGTGGGGTTTTTGGTGGTTGGGTGTGTGTGTATGGTTGGGTCTCTGGTTTTCTGTGGGGGGTTGTGGTGGTTGGGTGGTGTGTGTGCGGGTTTTTGTGTTTGGGTGTGTGTATGGTTGGTCTCTGGTTTTCTTGTGTGGGTGTGTTTGTTTGGGTGGTTGGGTGGTTGGGGTTGTGTGTGTGGGTTTTTGGGTGGTTGGGTGTGTGTGGGTGTGTTTTGTTTGGGTGGCTTGGTGTGTGTGTGTGGTGGGTGTGTGTGTTTTTGGGTGTGGGTGTGTGGTGTGGTTGGGTGTGTGTGGTGTTTTTTGGGTGTGTGTTGTTGTGGTGGCTGGTGGGGTGTGGTGGTGTGTGTTAGTTTGGGTGGTTTGGGTGTTTGTGTGGTGGGTGGTTGGTGGTTGGGTGTGTTGTGTGGTTGTCTGTGGGTTGTTGGGGGGTTGGGTTGGTGTTGGTTGGTGTGTGTGTGTGTGTGGGGGGGGGGGTTTTGGGTGGTTTGGGTGGTGTGTGTGGTTGGGTGGCTTGGGTGTGTGTGTTTTTTTTGGGTGGTTGGGTGTGTTGATGTGTGTTTTTTGGGTGTGGTGGGTGTGTGTTTGTTTGGGTGGTTGGGTGTTTTTTTGGGTGGTTGGTGTGTGTGTGTTTGTTGGGTTGTTGTGGTGTGTTGTGTTGTGTGTGTTTGGTGTGGTGTGTGTGTGTGTGTGTGTGGTTGGGTGTGTATGTGTGTCTTTTTTTCCATCTCTCTATTCATTTTCATTTACGTATGCTTATTTAAACGAATGTGTCCTTGCCTTTATTCTCCTCTGCCATTATTCCCGCCCTTTATCCACGTCGCTCCCACTCACCCCTGTGTTGCTCTTGCAGGCACCGTCTTCCTGTGGCTCTACTGGCCCTCCTTCAACAGCGGCGCCGCCCCGGGAGATGACCAACACCGCGCCATCATCAACACCTACATCACCCTCTGTTCGTGCACACTCACCACCTTCGCGCTCTCCTCCCTGGTTGACAAAGAAAAGAAATTCAATATGGTGAGGATTTGTTATGTGTGTATTGTGTTGTGTGTGTGTGTGTGTGTGTGTGTGTGTGTGTGTGTGTGTGTGTGTGTGTGTGTGTGTGTGTGTGTTGTGAGTGAGAGAGAGAGAGAGAGAGAGAACGTTCATGTTTTTTACTTTGTTTTATCCTGGTTTGGTTTGTTGAAAGACCTGTAATTTTCTCTCTCTCTCTCTCTCTCTCTCTCTCTCTCTCTCTCTCTCTCTCTCTCTCTCTCTCTCTCTCTCTCTCTCTCTCTCTCTCTCTCTCTCTCTCTCTTTCTCTCTCTCTCTCTGAATGAGAAAAGTTGAACATTCGTTGATATTACATCGATTTTAAATCGTTCCAGATACGAGATACCAATCCCACTCTTTTCTCTCCCTCTTTATCCAACAAACAAACAAAGACTAATCATATATACCAACCTCCCTTTTCTCTCTCTCTTTATCCAACATACAAACAAAGACTAATCATATATACCAACCCCACTCTTTTCTCTCTCTTTATCTCAAACAATCTAATCATATATACCCCATAACATCTGACTAATCATATACCCACCCGTCTGTGTTCCTCAGGTGCACATTCAGAACAGCACACTGGCGGGAGGTGTGGCCGTTGGAACAGCAGCTGATCTGATGATCCATCCGTGGGGCGCCATGCTCATCGGAATGGTTGCAGCCACCATCTCGGTCGTCGGTTACGCTTATCTCACGGTGAGGAGGATAAGGGAAGGAGGGGTCTAGAGGAAGGGAGGGAGGATAAGGGAGGGAGGATAAGGGAAGGAGGGATCTAGAGGAAGGGAGGGAGGGAGGATGAGGGAGGATGAGGGAAGGAGGGAACTAGAGGAAGAGAGGGAGGATGAGAGGAGAGGGATAACGCTTATCTCACGGTGAGGAGGATAAGGGAAGGAGGGGTCTAGAGGAAGGGAGGGAGGATGAGGTGAGAGGGATAACGGGGCGAGGGTAGCCCAGTTGGGAGAACGAACGACGAAGGAAATCGATCTCGCCATCTAGGAAGTCATGTCGAACAACTTACAACAGGAACAACGAAGAGAAGAACGAGAAAACGCACGAATATACCGAAGGCCTTTTCGCTATTGCTTCACCAGGACAGGAAATATATGCCCTGATGAAGCATAAAATTGTTCCTTCTTCTTCGTTGACGTTCTTCCCTTCGTTGTTCCTGTTGCAGTCCCTCTGTTGCAGTACGTAGGATTACTTGGATGCGTTACTGACGGACTGGTGTGAAATCTTGCGGGTCGGTAGCTTATGGTCCAGGATACCATTGATTATGCTTTATTGGTGATCCTTATCAGCATCTGCATCTAGGTTGGAATTTGATGATTTTTTGATAAGTGCGATCTGTCATAGAAAATGGGGTCTAGGAGCGGAAGGGACTGGGGTAGACTTGCATATTTCGAAGCTGTTTTTTCCCTCTCTTTTTCATTGCAAATAAATGCGTATACATACAATATATATGTGTGCGTGTGTGTGTATGTGTGTGCCTATACATATGTACATACATATGACTCTTCTAAAAAAAAAAAAACGTAGACTAAATCTGACCCCAAAAACGTAGACTAATCTGACCCCCAAAAAACGTAGACTAAATCTGACCCCCCAAAAAACGTAGACTAAAGCTGACCCCCAAAAAAACGTAACTAAATCTGACCCCCAAAAAACGTAGACTAAATCTGACCCCCAAAAAACGTAACTAAACTGACCCCAAAAAACGTAGACTAAATCTGACCCCAAAAAACGTAGACTAAAGCTGACCCCCCAAAAAACGTAGACTAAATCTGACCCCCAAAAAAACGTAGACTAAATCTGACCCCCAAAAAACGTAGACTAAATCTGACCCCCAAAAAACGTAGACTAAATCTGACCCCCCAAAAAACGTAGACTAAATCTGACCCCCCAAAAAACGTAGACTCTGACCCCCCAAAAAACGAAGACTAAATCTGACCCCAAAAAACGTAGACTAAATCTGAACCCCAAAAAAACGTAGACTAAATCTGACCCCCAAAAAACGTAGACTAAAAAAAAAACGTAGACTAAATCTGACCCCCCAAAAAAACGTTCTGACCCCAAAAACGTAGACTAAATCTGACCCCCAAAAAACGTAGACTAAATCTGACCCCCAAAAAACGTAGACTGACCCCCCAAAAAACGTAGACTAAATCTGACCCCCCAAAAAAACGTAGACTAAATCTGACCCCAAAAAACGTAGACTAAATCTGACCCCCCAAAAAAACGTAGACTAATCTGACCCCAAAAAACGTAGACTAAATCTGACCCCCAAAAAACGTAGACTAAATCTGACCCCCCAAAAAACGTAGACTAAATCTGACCCCCCAAAAAAACGTAGACTAAACTGACCCCCCCAAAAAACGTAGACTAAACTGACCCCAAAAACGTAGATAAATCTGAAAAAAACGTAGACTAAATCTGACCCCCCCAAAAAACGTAGACTAAATCTGACCCCAAAAAACGTAGACTAAATCTGACCCCCCAAAAAACGTAGACTAAATCTGCCCCCCAAAAAACGTAGACTAAATCTGACCCCCCAAAAAACGTAGACTAAATCTGACCCCCCAAAAAACGTAGACTAAATCTGACCCCAAAAAACGTAGACTAAATCTGACCCCCAAAAAAACGTAGACTAAATCTGACCCCCCAAAAAACGTAGACTAAATCACCCCAAAAAAAACGTAGACTAAATCTGACCCCAAAAACGTAGACTAAATCTGACCCCCAAAAAACGTAGACTAAATCTGACCCCCCAAAAAAACGTAGACTAAATCTGACCCCCAAAAAACGTAGACTAAATCTGACCCCCAAAAAAAAACGTAGACTAAATCTGACCCCAAAAAAACGTAGACTAAATCTGACCCCCAAAAAAACGTAAGACTAAATCTGACCCCAAAAAACGTAGACTAAATCTGACCCCCAAAAAACGTAGACTAAACCCCCAAAAAAACGTAGACTAAATCTGACCCCCAAAAAAACGTAGACTAAATCTGACCCCCCAAAAAAACGTAGACTAAATCTGACCCCCAAAAACGTAGACTAAATCTGACCGAAAAACGTAGACTAAATCTGACCCCCAAAAAAACGTAGACTAAATCTGACCCCCAAAAAAACGTAGACTAAATCTGACCCCCAAAAAACGTAGACTAAATCTGACCCCCAAAAAAACGTAGACTAAATCTGACCCCCCAAAAAACGTAGACTAAACCCCCCAAAAAACGTAGACTAAATCTGACCCCCAAAAAACGTAGACTAAATCTGACCCCCAAAAAAACGTAGACTAAATCTGACCCCAAAAAACGTAGACTAAATCTGACCCCCAAAAAACGTAGACTAAATCTGACCCCCAAAAAACGTAGACTAAATCTGACCCCCAAAAAACGTAGACTAAATCTGACCCCCCAAAAAACGTAGACTAAAATGACCCCCCAAAAAGACTAAATCTGACCAAAAAAAGACTAAATCTGACCCCAAAAAAAACGTAGACTAAATCTGACTAGACTAAATCTAACCCCAAAAAACGTAGACTAAATCTGACCCCAAAAAAACGTAGACTAAATCTGACCCCCAAAAAAACGTAGACTAAATCTGACCCCCCAAAAAACGTAGACTAAATCTGACCCCCAAAACGTAGACTAAATCTGACCCCCAAAAAACGTAGACTAAATCTACCCCCAAAAAACGTAGACTAAATCTGACCCCCCAAAAACGTAGACTCTACCCCCAAAAAACGTAGACTAAATCTGACCCCCAAAAAACGTAGACTAAATCTGACCCCCCAAAAAAACGTAGACTAAATCTGACCCCCCCAAAAAACGTAGACTAAATCTGACCCCCAAAAAACGTAGACTAAATCTGAAAAAACCTCCCCAAAAAACGTAGACTAAATCTGACCCCCCAAAAAACGTAGACTAAATCTGACCCCCCAAAAAACGTAGACTAAATCTGACCCCCAAAAAACGTAGACTAAACCTGACCCCAAAAAAACGTAGACTAAATCTGACCCCCCAAAAAACGTAGACTAAATCTGACCCCCAAAAAAACGTAGACTAAATCTGACCCCCCAAAAAACGTAGACTAAATCTGACCCCCCAAAAAAACGTAGACTAAATCTGACCCCCAAAAAAGTAGACTAAATCTGACCAAAAAAACGTAGACTAAATCTGACCCCCCAAAAACGTAGACTAAAATCTGACCCCCAAAAAAACGTAGACTAAATCTGACCCCCCAAAAAAACGTAGACTAAATCTGACCCCCCAAAAAACGTAGACTAAATCTGACCCCCAAAAAAACGTAGACTAAATCTGACCCCAAAAAACGTTAGACTAAATCTGACCCCAAAAAACGTAGACTAAATCTGACCCCCCCAAAAAACGTAGACTAAATCTGACCCCAAAAAACGTAGACTAAATCTGACCCCCAAAAACGTAGACTAAATCTGACCCCCAAAAAACGTAGACTAAATCTGACCCCCCAAAAACGTAGACTAAATCTGACCCCCAAAAAACGTAGACTAAATCTGACCCCCCAAAAACGTAGACTAAATCTGACCCCCCAAAAAACGTAGACTAAATCTGACCCCCCAAAAAAAACGTAGACTAAATCTGACCCCCAAAAAAACGTAGACTAAATCTACCCCCAAAAAGTAGACTAAATCTGACCAAAAACGTAGACTAAATCTGACCCCCAAAAAAACGTAGACTAAATCTGACCCCCAAAAAACGTAGACTAAATCTGACCCCCCAAAAAACGTAAGACTAAATCTGACCCCAAAAAACGTAGACTAAATCTGACCCCCCAAAAACGTAGACTAAATACCCCCAAAAAACGTAGACTAAATCTGACCCCCCAAAAAACGTAGACTAAATCTGACCCCCCAAAAAACGTAGACTAAATCTGACCCCCCCAAAAAACGTAGACTAAATCTGACCCCCCAAAAAACGTAGACTAAATCTGACCCCCAAAAAAACGTAGACTAAATCTGAAAAAAACGTAGACTAAATCTGACCCCCCAAAAAAACGTAGACTAAATCTGACCCCCAAAAAACGTAGACTAAATCTGACCCCCCAAAAACGTAGACTAAATCTGACCCCCAAAAAACGTAGACTAAAACTGACCCCCCAAAAAACGTAGACTAAATGACCCCAAAAAAACGTAGACTAAATCTGACCCCCCAAAAAACGTAGACTAAATCTGACCCCCCAAAAAACGTAGACTAAATCTGACCCCCAAAAAAAAACGTAGACTAAATCTGACCCCCAAAAAACGTAGACTAAATCTGACCCCCCAAAAAACGTAGACTAAATCTGACCCCCCAAAAAAACGTAGACTAAATCTGACCCCAAAAAACGTAGACTAAATCTGACCCCAAAAAACGTAGACTAAATCTGACCCCCAAAAAACGTAGACTAAATCTGACCCCAAAAAACGTAGACTAAATCTGACCCCCCAAAAAACGTAGACTAAATCTGACCCCAAAAACGTAGACTAAATCTGACCCCAAAAAAACGTAGACTAAATCTGACCCCCAAAAAACGTAGACTAAATCTGACCCCCAAAAAACGTAGACTAACCTGACCCCAAAAACGTAGACTAAATCTGACCCCAAAAAACGTAGACTAAATTCTGACCCCCCAAAAAACGTAGACTAAATCTGACCCCCCAAAAACGTAGACTAAATCTGACCCCCCAAAAAACGTAGACTAAATCTGACCCCCAAAAAAAAAACGTAGACTAAATCTGACCCCCAAAAAACGTAGACTAATCTGACCCCCAAAAAACGTAGACTAAACTGACCCCAAAAAACGTAAGACTAAACCCCCAAAACGTAGACTAAATCTTAGACTAAATGACCCCCAAAAACGTAGACTAAATCTGACCCCCCAAAAAACGTAGACTAAATCTGACCCCCCAAAAAACGTAGACTAAACTGACCCAAAAAAACGTAGACTAAATCTGACCCCCAAAAAACGTAGACTAACTGACCCCCCAAAAACGTAGACTAAATCTGACCCCCAAAAAACGTAGACTAAATCTGACCCCAAAAAACGTAGACTAAATCTGACCCCCAAAAACGTAGACTAAATCTGACCCCCCCAAAAAACGTAGACTAAATCTGACCCCCCAAAAACGTAGACTAAATCTGACCCCCAAAAAACTAAAACCCCCCAAAAAACGTAGACTAATTCTGACCCCAAAAAAACGTAGACTAAATCTGACCCCCCAAAAAAACGTAGACTAAATCTGACCCCCAAAAAAACGTAGACTAAATCTGACCCCCAAAAAACGTAGACTAAATCTGACCCCCAAAAAACGTAGACTAAATCTGACCCCCCAAAAAACGTAGACTAAATCTGACCCCCAAAAAAGTAGACTAATTCTGACCCCCAAAAAAACGTAGACTAAATCTGACCCCCAAAAACGTAGACTAAATCTGACCCCCAAAAAACGTAGACTAAATCTGACTAGACTAAATCTGACCCCCAAAAAACGTAGACTAATCTGACCCCCCAAAAAACGTAGACTAAATCTGACCCCAAAAAAACGTAGACTAAATCTGACCCCCCAAAAAACGTAGACTAAATTCTGACCCCCCAAAAAACGTAGACTAAATCTGACCCCCCAAAAAACGTAGACTAAATCTGACCCCAAAAAACGTAGACTAAATCTGACCCCCCAAAAAAACGTAGACTAATTCTGACCCCCAAAAAACGTAGACTAAATCTGACCCCCAAAAAACGTAGACTAAATCTGACCCCCAAAAAACGTAGACTAATTCTGACCCCCCAAAAAACGTAGACTAATTCTGACCCCCCAAAAAACGTAGACTAAATGACCCCAAAAAACGTAGACTAATTCTGACCCCAAAAAACGTAGACTAAATCTGACCCCCCAAAAAACGTAGACTAAATCTGACCCCAAAAACGTAGACTAAATCTGACCCCCCAAAAAAACGTAGACTAAATCTGACCCCAAAAAACGTAGACTAAATCTGACCCCCAAAAAACGTAGACTAAATCTGACCCCCAAAAAACGTAGACTAAATCTGACCCCCCAAAAACGTAGACTAACTGACCCCAAAAAACGTAGACTAAATCTGACCCCCAAAAAACGTAGACTAAATCTGACCCCAAAAAAACGTAGACTAAATCTGACCCCCCAAAAAACGTAGACTAAATCTGACCCCCAAAAAACGTAGACTAAATCTGACCCCAAAAAAACGTAGACTAATCTGACCCCCAAAAACGTAGACTAAATCTGACCCCAAAAAAACGTAGACTAAACCCCCCAAAAAACGTAGAGACCCCCCAAAAAACGTAGACTAAAACTAGACTAAATCTGACCCCCCAAAAAACGTAGACTAAATCTGACCCCCAAAAAACGTAGACTAAATCTGACCCCCCAAAAAAACGTAGACTAATTCTGACCCCCCAAAAAACGTAGACTAAATCTGACCCCACAAAAAAAACGTAGACTAAATCTGACCCCCCAAAAAACGTAGACTAAATCTGACCCCCCAAAAACGTAGACCTAAAAATCTGACCCCCCAAAAAACGTAGACTAAATCTGACCCCCAAAAAAACGTAGACTAAATCTGACCCCAAAAAAAACGTAGACTAAATCTGACCCCAAAAAACGTAGACTAAGACCCCCAAAAAAACGTAGACAAATCTGACCCCCAAAAAAACCGTAGACTAAATCTGACCCCCCTTTCCGCCGCAGCCGTTCCTGGCCTCCCGCCTCCGGATCCACGACACCTGCGGCGTCCACAACCTCCACGGGATGCCTGCGATCCTGGCCGGCATCATCGGCTGCGTCGCCGCCGCCCTCGCCTCCGAGGACACCTACGGGCCCAGGTGAGGCAGGAGGGGCGTGGTTTTAGGGCAGGAGGGGCGTGGTTTTAGGAGAGGAGGGGCGTGGTTTTAGGAGAGGAGGGGGCGTGGTTTTAGGAGAGGAGGGGCGTGGTTTTAGGAGAGGCGTGGTTTTAGGAGAGGAGGGCGTGGTTTTAGGAGAGGAGGGGCGTGGTTTTAGGAGAGGAGGGGCGTGGTTTTAGGAGAGGATGGGCGTGGTTTTAGGAGAGGAGGGGCGTGGTTTTAGGAGAGGAGGGCGTGGTTTTAGGAGAGGAGGGGCGTGTTTTAGGAGAGGAGGGCGTGGTTTTAGGAGAGGAGGGGCGTGGTTTAGGAGAGGAGGGCGTGGTTTTAGGAGAGGAGGGGCGTGGTTTTAGGAGAGGAGGGCGTGGTTTTAGGAGAGGAGGGCGTGGTTTTAGGAGAGGAGGGCGTGGTTTTAGGAGAGGAGGGGCGTGGTTTTAGGAGAGGAGGGTGGTTTTAGGCGGAGGGGCGTGGTTTTAGGAGAGGAGGGGCGGGGAGAGTGTGGTTTAGGAGAGGAGGGCGTGGTTTTAGGAGAGGAGGGGCGTGGTTTTAGGAGAGCGTGGTTTTAGGAGAGGAGGGGCGTGGTTTTAGGAGGAGGGGGTGGTTTTAGGAGAGGAGGGGCGTGGTTTTAGGAGAGGAGGGGCGTGGTTTTAGGAGAGGAGGGGCGTGGTTTTAGGAGAGGAGGGGCGTGGTTTTTTATATATATTTGTGGAAGGCTTTTGCGTTGTTTGTTTGTTTGTTTGTTTAAGTGGATGGAAAGGACGTTTTGTGCGTGTGTGTTTGTGTGTGTGTGTTGCGTGTGCGTGTGCGTGTGCGCGCGTGTGTGTGGTGTGTGTGTGTGTGGTTGTGTGTGTGTGTGTGTGTGTGTGTGTGTGTGTGTGTGTCTTTGTGCGCACTCCTATTTATACGCATAAGTGTTTTGCTTGCACCTGTGCGTGTGTTTATAGGCGTGTATGTACAGGAGTCCATGTAGTAATATCTCATCAAGTAAGAATATCCACCCCCTCCCCCCCCTCACCATCCGTCACCACTCCCCCCCCATCTACCTCCCCCCCATCCCAACACTCGCCCCCCCCCCTATCAAACACAAACACAAACTCAACGACCCCCCCCTCCCACCCATCCCAACACAAACTCACCACGCCGCCCCATCTCCCACAAACCACCTCCCCCCCTCCCCACATGCCCACCCCTCCCCCCTCCCACGCCCCCCCCCGCCAACCACTCATCCTCCCAACCCCCCCTCCCTCCCCCGCCCCTCACCAAACAACTCCCACGCCCCCCCCTCAGCCCCTCCCCCTCCCAATCAACCACAGCCATCACGCGCCCCCCCTCCCCCCCCCCCCATCCCAACGCAAACTCACCCGCCCCCCCCCTCCCCCCCATCCAACACAAACTCACCAGCCCCCCCTCCCCCTCCCCATCCCACCCCACATGCCAAACAAACTCACCACGCCCCTCCCCCCCCCCCCCTCCCCCAACAACTCCCCCCCCCCCCCTCGATCCCAACACAAACTCACTGCACGCCTCCCCTCCTCCTCGCCCCCATCCCAACACAAACTCACCACGCCCTCCTCCCCTCCCTACCCCCATCCCAACACAAACTCACCACGCCCCCCAATCCCACAAACTCACCACCCCCCCCTCCCTTCCCCCCCATCCCAAACACAAACTCACCACGCCCCCCCCTCCCCTCCCCCCCCCAACACCAAACTCACACGCCCCCCCCTCCTCCCCATCCCAACACAAACTCACCACGCCCTCCCTACGCCCTCACACGCCCCCCCTCCCCCTGCCAACACAAACTCACCACCCCCCCCCTCCCCCCCCCCTCCCCATCCCAAACCACAAACTCACCACGCCTCCCCCCTCCGCCCATCCGAACACAAACTCACCAGCCCCCCCCTCCTCTCCCCCTACCCACACAAACGTCACCACGCCCCCCCACCTCCCCCCCATCCCAACACAAACTCACCACCGCCCCCCTCCTCCCCTCCCCCCATACCCAAACAAATCACCACGCCCTCCACCACCCGCCCTCATCTCTAACACAAACTCACTCACGCCTCCCCTCCCCTCCCCCCCCCCCAATCCCCCCCACCCCCCCAAACATAAACTACACGACCCTCCCCCCCTCCACCCCCCATCCAACACAACTCACCACGCCCCCCCCTCCCAACTCCCCCCCCCCACGCCCTCAACCCACAACTCACCACGCCCCCCCCTCCCCCTCCCCCCCCCATACCATCAAAACTCACACCGCCCTCCCACCCCCCCATCCCTACACAAACTCAACCACGCCGCCCCTCCCACCCCCACCATCAACCAAACACATAACACCCCCCCCCCATCCAACACTAATCGCAACTCCCCCACCCATTCCCACTTTACCGCCCCCCCCCCTCAAACTCAAACACCAACATCACCACGCCCTCGTCCACAGCAGCACTCCCACGCCCCCCCCACCATCCCCACCCCACCCATCCCCCATCCAACACAAACTCACCACGCCCTCCCCTCTCCCCACCCCCCACCCCCCCCCCCTAACCATAATCCCAACACAAACTCACCACGCCCTCCCCCCTCCCACCCCCCACCACCCCCACCCCTCGCCATCCCAACACAGACTCACCACGCCTCCCCCTCCCCACCCCCCACCCCCCATCCCAACACAAACTCACCACGCCCTCCCCCCCTCCCCACCCCCATCCCAACACTTAATCGCCCTCCCCCCCCCATGAAACTCAAACACAAACTCACCACGCCCTCCCCCCTCCCCCCACCCCCCCACCCCCCCCATATCCCAACACAGACTCACCACGCCCTCCCCCTCCCACAGCCTCTACGAGATCTTCCCGAACCGCGCTCCTGCAGAAGGCACCGAGGACTTCGCTCGCCTCAAGGGCATCCTTCCCGATCTGGAGCCTGGCCCAGGGTACTCGGCAGGAGGTCAGGCCGGGAACCAGATGCTGGCACTGCTCATCACGCTGACCATCGCCATCATCGGAGGGGTCATCACAGGTCAGGATTTGTAGGGGGTCGCTTTTTTCTGTGTTTGTTTGTTTTTTGTTTGTTTTTGTTTTTTGTTTGTTTGTTTTTGTTTGTTTGTGTATTTGTTTTTGGTTTGTTTGTTTTTTATTTGTTTTTGTTTTTTTTTTGTTTATTTGTTTTTGTTTTTGTTTGTTTGTTTGTTTTTGTTTTTTTTTGTTTGTTTGTTTCCGTTTTTTCCTTTTTCTTCTCTTTCTCACAATGTTTTAGAAGAGGATTTACTCATTTTATGCAATATTGTTTGCCATGTTTTATCATTGAGTTATTCATATTATTGTAATATTAAAAATTGAAATATTTGCTATTTATTATTCACTACTGTAACGTACAATTATATTTTTAATCACAACGTTCCCAATTAAACTATTTGTTATCAAACAGTCTACTATCTTCGCCTACCCTCTTCTACTATTTACGTTTTTTTATCATTATACTATTTCCAATCAACAATTCCCCCCAATACAGTTCTTGTTATACTATTTACAGACATACAACCATTGCACACTTTCTCACAATACCAATTTCTACCCCTATTTCCGTGTACACTTTCTCATAATACCAATTTCTACCCATAATTCCGTGCACACTTTCTCTTAATACCAATTTCAACACCTGTTTCCTCAGGCTTTGCACACTTTCTCATAATACCAATTTCAACCCCTAAATCCTTGCACACTTTCTTACAATACCAATTTCTACCCCTATTATCGTGCACACTTTCTCATAATACCAATTTCAACCCCTAATTTCAATACTAATTTCCTCAGGCTTTGCACACTTTCTCATAATACCAATTTCAACCCCTAATTTCAATACTAATTTCCTCAGGCTTTGCACACTTTCTCATAATACCAATTTCAACCCCTAATTTCAATACTAATTTCCTCAGGCTTTGCACACTTTCTCATAATACCAATTTCAACCCCTAATCCCGTGCACACTTTCTCTTAATACCAATTTCTACCCCAAATTCCTCAGGCTTCCTTCTCCGCGCCGAAATCTGGGGCAGACTTCGCACAGACGATCTCTACGAAGACGAAAAATACTGGATAATTGAGGAGGAAGAAGAGGAACACCAGATGAGCAGCGTGCACATCCCTATGACGTCACCAGCTGATAACGGGACATCCAAGTAGAGAGAAAAAGCGAGTTTTTTTTTTTTTTTTTTTTTTTTTGCGTTTTGCTTTTTCGTTTCCGTTTGGGGAGACGTAGGGGCGTGTGTGTGTGTGTGTGTGTGTGTGTGTGTGTGTGTGTGTGTGTGTGTGTGTGTGTGTGTGTGTGTGTGTGTGTGTGTGTGTGTGTGTGTGTGTGTGTGTGTGATATGTAGATAGGTGTGTGCGCATGTGTGCAACTTTTGTGTATGTGGAAAAAGAAGATTTGGTTTCATATATTCAAAGAAAAGAAAAAGAAATTTTGATTTTCGGAATATAGGAAAATTACTTTAAACTGGCTTCATGTTTTTTATAAAGTAATTTGACCTGATTTTTCTATAGGAAGTTGACTGTTAAACTTGGGTTCATGTTAAAAAAAGGTAATATCAACATATGTTTGAATGTTGACTGTCTGTTTGAAGCTAACATGACTAGAATATTAGAAGTTAGTATATAGTGTGAATAAATTGATCGTAGTACAGCGGGTCCTCGACTTACGACGGAGATCCGTTCCTACGATGGCGTCGTAACCCGAATTTTGACGTAAGTGTGCTACACGCGCGTACGTACATATGCACCGGCCACTCACATACGCTCATGCAGTATGTACACACGTATTAAAGTCATAATCTAAAACCTAACAAGACACTTCTATGACGTACATGAAGATTAAAAGCTAAAGGAACACAAGAAAGACAAATTGTAAATACTGTCCACGATTTTTAGCGTCGTATCCACGAAACGTCGTAAGTCGAGACGTAGACGTAAATCGTAAACCGAGGACCCCCTGTAACGAATTTCTGTGAAAAAAATGAATGATGTGAATGATGTTACTGTGTGATGATGATGTGTGTCTAATGATGTGTCTGTGTGTGTGATGATGATGTGTGTCTAATGATGTGAATGATGTTACTGTGTGATGATGATGTGTGTCTAATGATGTGAATGATGTTACTGTGTGATGATGATGTGAATGATGTCTACTAATGCTGTGTGATGATGATGTGTGTCTAATGATGTGAATGATGTTACTGTGTGATGATGATGTGTGTCTAGCTAGATAAATAGTCATAGTGATAATGAACACTCTCTGGAGGAATTTTTTTAGGTATAATTTTTTTTTCCCGATTATAAATCGACTGTTCTCAAAACTCAGTCTTATTAATTTAAACGACTGTAGATAAGCTTACATATACGAGTGAAAAAGGGATCATAAGTGTAAGGTTTCTTTACACAAGGCTAAAATCATTAACCTAAAATAAAATTACGACAGATTTTAAAGCATTAAGCAGGTATACTCATAAATTTCTGTAAAGTTTCTCGTATGGGAAGCGTTGGATAACTTTATCTTTAAGGATATTGACTTTAATGTAATTTCATTAGGGTAACGTGCCAGTATATTTTATATAAACTGAGTGATTGGATTTTTTTTTTTTTTTTTTTTTTTTTTTTTTTTTTTTTGCTCTTCAATTTATTATTAGAAATAGGTGTGATTTTTTTTCCTTTTTTTTTTGTAAAGATAATTATGTGGTGTGATGAATGTCAGAACTCTGTGATTGAGTTGATTGAATATTTGCTTTTGTTTATGCTTATGTGTGATTACTTTTAAATAGAAATGTAAAAGACAGCAATTCTTTTAAATAAAATAATAAGCTTTAAGCTAAACTTTAATATGTGCAAATCAGACTTTTTTTTTATTGAGCAGAGTATTAATATCATGAGATTTGTGATTCTAATTTGATTTTTTATCGTGATTATCATCTCTAAAAAATATAATTATAGATCAAGCACTGTTTTTATGAAAAATCTGTACTATTTTAAATTGGAAAAAATGGAATAAATTTTCATCTGCAAATCAGTTTTTTTTTTTTTTTTTTTTTTTTTTTTTTGAGCAGAGCACTAATAACATTGTGATTTTTATCTGTTCTTTGTTTCTTGTTTTTTATCGTAATTGTTATCTCTAAAAAATAAATGATTACAAATTAAGCACTGTTCATATGTTATGATTTTTTCTTTCTTTTTACTTTTTTAAATTAAAAAAAAAAACGGAATTTATTTTCATTTTTTTTTTCCGGTGAACGAAACACACCACAATTTCTTCCGAATTCATATAGGTCTATTTAAGGTTTCAGATTTAAACATACCTCCTTGTAGATTATTCTATGAATCCATATATCTTTTCTCGAACATGTTAAGGAAATAACCAAAGGAAATGTAGATAAAGGATTACATACCCAAGATATTTTGAAATAACCTTTAAACATGTATTAGT